AAACTGCAACTGTCTCTACTGAGTGTTCTGGTGGAATACCTTACACGTACAGTGAGACCTGTCTAAGATGACCGCTCAAGGGACATTCAAACGTGGTCTCTCTTACCAGGGTCATTTGACTGGAAAAATCGCTTCGTCATTGTTTCATTAAATTTGTATTTTAGGACAGGTGGCCACGTTTTCCGAGTGGTCGCATTGACAGGTTTTACTGTAAATCACATGCAACATGCATTTCATATTTCAAGTATACTGCATGTGCATAACTTCATGCAGCATCCATATGCACACTCGGGTAGACTGGGGCAGAGAGCCAAGGAGTAATTTATAGGAAAGAAAAGGATCCACGAAGTACAAGATACGGCATAATGTCGACTAACAACACCAGTTACTTGACAATCAGCTCATGTGATAGCAATGCACGACACTGACCAACGGTACCCTCATACTACAACGAACTTCCAAGTGTTCGACTCGGACAGAGAAGGTGCCCCCTACATGTATTTCATGCCCTAAGCATGAAGTGGCATTATCCGAAGTTTGCCAGGTGAATGCTAATGGATCTTACCAAACAAATCGCTGGACACTTGTTGTTTTACACCAAAGAAATGGTGTCTTGTTTCCTGGACTTTTTCGCCCTTTGCTCATGATGCGGTAAGGTGGAATAGAGGGAAATACCCATGTTGATATTTAGGATCCATGCCCATATCTATGGGAGTGAGTAACAGTTAGTTACATTTTACACACACACACACACACACAAACATGGACGCAAACGAGCCAGCATGGATGGTGTGAATGAGGGTAATTTATTTGGTGTCAGCGCTCAGCGACAGCGAGAGTTGCACCAATTCAGGTCGTTCCATTGTTCTACTTCTAATGGGTTGGCCTGGGTCGTGTGATTCTTCTCCTCAGTACAGTGGTTCCTCATGCGGTGCGTGCTGGTGATGTGGCCCTAGGCCTGAATACACGCCGCCACTTCTCCTGCATGCATTCCAATCAAACCAGTGGTTTTGCTCACAGGGTGGGTAAGATAGGGAGCAGCTACTTTCAATTTAAGGACGGCCCATGGGCGTAGCACATGACACAAAGTGACTATTTCCCCAAGCAATAATGGAACAACATAGGCTCACTCTAGACCGACAAATCTGTCTTTGTGCACGTGATACAAACAATGCAAGCTAAGTCCCAGTACTGCTGCCAACAGGTATATTGCTCATACTGCCACTGCTTAGTGTTAAGACCAACATCTGTGCTGAACGCCAAAATAGCCCCTGGTCACCGTCCGCCATGGCACAGGTCTTAGCCAGCTACTGCGCCTGGGAACTTGAGGTTCTAGTGGATTTACATGTAAGTCTTTAGTGTTTCTCCAGCACTATCCCAGACTGCCAGAGCTTCAGTGGGCAAAGCGTTCTGACGTAAAAAACATTGCATGCCGGTGCAAGGGTCATTAGCTCAGTATGTGATTCTGAAGGCCTGCTAAAAATGATGTCATGCGGATAGGACGGGTTATGTTTGTAACGGCACGACATTTTAGAGTCGGTGTTATGTTAGTGTACGGTGTGTGCGGGTGTGTGTGTGCACACCATAAACACGGGTGTCGTCTATTCTAGGTGTATCACGCAATTGAATACAATGAGATACCATGACGACATCTACATGTATGCCTTTGGCCTTGTAAGTAATTAGTTGTAAGTTGTCACAGGTTGTGTCGCCGAGAATGGCATGTGACCACAGCCTGGCAGAACTCGCTTACGATGTACCTAGGCTCGCTTCACTCAGGCCGACTCACTCACAGAACACCATCAGGAGTGGTACTGCTAATTATTTGTTCTGACATGTACGCTGTAGTTCGTTACAGCTGTACATACTGTGTTGCTCTAAAGGGGATTACATTACTAACAAGTGACATGACATAATGATGACGTAACCTCATTGTCCAAATCAGAAAGTATTACTGTGATTGGGGGACGGGGGTTCATGCTGCGGTACATAGAGAACAATGCACACATCTGTTCCTGTTATCCATCAGAAATTCACACCTTCCAATTTCATTTGTTTGTTTTGTGCTTAAAACTGAGCTACAACGCGAAATATAAAAAAAAACGGGTACATGTACGACCCATTCAACTCAAGCAGAGTCTTTCATAGGATATGCTCTTCGCTTCAGCAGGCACATGTTGCCACCCATCACGTAAAGAGGGCAACTTTATTTTAGGAAAATGCTCCAGCATTTTCGATGGATGATAACATCGTTTCAAATCCTAGACCCTTATTGAATGCATGGGGTTGTCAGTGACAGCCACTTGTAAACTGACATGTTTTGAGTGCACCTTTTCCCTGTCCTTGTGGGCTCTCAAATAGTGACTTGGCTGTCATCTTGCTACCCAGTTTGTCTGCTGTTCATGTAGTGTGCACCATGTCATGGCAATCAGCTGATCATGTACTGTACATGTATACCAGCTGACTAGACAGCACAAAACATTTCCGGTACGAGTACAGTCATGTACATGTACATGACTGTACATGTACATTTACATAACACACTGTTGTGAATTCCAGCAGAAATCCAAGAGAGCTCGATACCGGGAAGGTAGAGCCGTGACACACTAGTCAGAACAACAGATGGCTTGATCAGTCACAACTTAAAGGGGAAGTCCGGTGAAAAATTTAAATTTCACAGTCCGTAGAGTTCGGGGCGCTGAGTCGAATGGTCTTTGTCCGAGGAGGCTTTCGGCCTATGGTTCGTCAGATACGCCCAATCGAACATGTGCGGATTTGAGCGCGCCTCACCCAGATCCAGGTGATGACGTCACAGCGTGCAGCCAGGTGGCCACACCATCTAGATGTGTACAAAAACGGCCATATTCGGAGCGCGTTCGATTGGGGAACTGTTTGTCGCAGCTTCTTCGGACCAAGACCATTCGCTTCAGTGTTACAAACACTACGTACCCTGTGATTTTCAGCTCGGTAAACCTCGAGGTTATACCGTATTTTAGCCGTTTCCGAGTTGGACTTTTTCCGTCGACATGCACTGGCCTCTATCTACGGCTCTAGCAATGCGCTGCGTGCATGCTACCTGTAGTGTAGTCAACAAACTCATCACACACGGAACTACTCCCGCACTGCCATGCTGGGGTAGGTACAACAAGACTCGAGTCACAAGACTCAGAAAACTAGTCAACACACGGACTTGTCATGTACTACACTCGTATCAGTCGTGTAGTCAGAGAACGAGCGTTTCTCCTTGCCGGTGGTGGTTGTGCTTTGAGAAAGAAAATTTTAGTTTTCCGCTCCCGCCTCATTATTTTATGCTACAGCGATGAGTGCACAACCGTGACAAGTGACAAAACAGCGAACAGCTCCCGGACCTAGAACTTTCAGATCCCGTAGCGTTGCGAGCGAAGAGTCGTGCACGTAGTTCAAAGAGCCTGCACTGTTCTCCAATTGAGTGTCCGAAATACGCCAAGTTCGCACCAAAACATCACCATGTGGCAGGTTACTGGAGTCTAAGCGAATCGGTATGGAACAACATTTAGTCTTAGAGCACTCGCATCACTCTTCTCCATTTTGGCGACTCTGCTCTCCAGCGAGCTGATAATTATATCGGCTTCGTCTGCAATAGCTGCTGCTTCTTCATCAGTCGGAAACTCAGTAGCGCTCACTCTTGACCGACCCGCGCGGCCATTTCTTCAGCTGAATACCGAGGTTCTCAGCCCCAGACCGAACTCATGAAGGTCAGCCATGGCTGCATCCTCACTCTCACAAGGAGTTACGTCTTCGGAGTCGCTTGCACCACCTACTATGGGTCGCCAAATCATTTGAAATAGCACTGACACTATTGCTTTCACGCACTCCTTTTGACCTAGCTGCACGCTATGACGTTGCGGAGGGTGTGGCGCGGCCGCATGACGTCATGGCGCAGCCCCCGAAACTCAGTTTTTCAAACGGAAATATCTCGAGAACGCTTTGTCGGGGACATGTGGGACCAACACCATTCGACTCAGCGGCCGAAACTCTACCAACCCTGAAATTTAAATTTTTCACCGGACTTCCCCTTTAAAGTTTCATGCCATCTCAGGCACTCATCAGGTGATACATTTACATAATAATTATCCGTACTGCGCGGCGTGTTCCGCATCACTGCACACGTTTGCATCTCCCCATACTTCATGCGATTTTACTATGATCTGTTTTAGTGTTGCGTTTCGGAGAGAAACGACCAGTACCAGGCATGTGGCCTCTAAACACTTCTTCACCTTCACCTGGTCTAGTCGCTAATGAACATTATAACGCATGGTGATTGGACTGGGATGGAGAGCCAAGGAATACATGTACATTGTACATGTACCTCAGTAATCAGCATTGTACTACATGTACATGTTGCACCTTCTGGCTACACAGCATTTTTAAATGCTGGACACAAACTACGGATAACGTGTAGTATGGTGATTTCTGTGTGCTTTCATGCTTGTACCAGGGCCAATTCATACAAGTAAAATACACGTACGGCGATAGTGCAGGAGAGGGGACCAGAGTTGCATGTGAGACTACGGTTTCGGATTTTCTAATGTCCCTGTGTAGCACTCCACTAATACTCCTAGATGCTAGAAAGCGTGTCCAAGAGATACCATGGTGGCCAGTGCATTCCGCATTTGATTTTAAGAGAATAGATGCGGGTTATCTACAGAGAATACCTCTCTTCCATGACCCAGACCAGATCCTGTCTAGATACATGAATATGTATAGGAAATACGTAGTCAAGTGGTGTGCTTCACTGTCCGAAGAGTGCTCAATGCCCATTTAGGGCAGAGCCTTGTACGTGTTGCCTGATGATCGTAGCAATACGTGAAACTGAGAGTTGTAACAAAGCTTCCAAACTCTCTCTTGTGTATAGGAAATACACAAGAGAGAGAGAGGTTGGAAGCTTCTTACAACTCTGAGTTTCACGTATTACTACGATCATCAGGCAACTGATGGATCCAAAACGGGCAGCCAGACCATAAGGGGAGCAAGGCGGGAAATTCTGAGGGGTATCAGATGCGACGTATATCATAGCGCAAGGGCTTAGTGTATAGGAAATAGAGTGACGTGCAATTGAGTACATGTACAGGGTCCGGAAGTGGTTAGAGTGGACAAAGAAAATGAGACAAACTGAACAGAATCGGTCGAAACCAGGTCAACATTGGCTTGTTCGTACCGAAAAAGACTGATTCTCGCAAAACCATGGAGTAAAGAGTTGCACCAGCATCGCCATCAATAGTAGAGGCCTGTAATGTTGTGAACATACAGAGAGAACCCAGATGGTGAGCGAATTAAAAATTTGCAACATGGAAATTGGTGGCACACGGCTGACAGTTCAAAATCTGATTTAGTTGGTGGACTCGACTACAGAACTTGTGCCCACAATTTTCATGTTACAAAAACGGAGAGAATATTACCATTATACCAAAACAAGCATTAAACATTTAAAAAAACTCTGACCTTTTCACAAAAAACTTTTTTCACACTATATTCCTCGCTAAATACCATGTATTCGTGTTGCTTTTGCGAAACCCAAGCACTTAGTTTCCTCCATTCTCGTCCAAAATAGTTTAGAAAACATAGCATCAGAAAGGGCAAATGCAGGCTGAATTGCCAGCTTGGAGAAAGGATTAGTCTTACAAACAGGTTTGACAAAGCAACCCACAGTATGTTGCCCTGTTGCGAACTAAGCTCAAAAATCAACAGCTCAGCCAGAAATTCCGCATTATTTGTCAGGAAAAGGTACTATATCAATATAAAGGACGCACAGACCATACGTTGGGATTGAAGTGATTCGCCGAGATGCCTTTCTTCTGTTGACGGTCTGGCAACAGAATGCAACTTTAACAATCATGGAAGACTTGAAAAACACTTGGAAGCCACACGTAAATGTTCTGTTTACTACAACCCGATCAGCATCACACGGAACAGTTCACAGGAATCGTTTTACTTGATAAAGGTAACACGATGATGTCATCCTCCAGGCTATTTCGTATGGAGTTACATCACAACTCACGAGTGCTAGTTTGCCACACAATACTTCGATGCAATTTGCATAAATTCTAGGAAACGGGACACTGTGTAGAAACATTACATTTGCTTTGCAATGTTCCTTAGGGCTGGTTAAATTCTTTGCAAAACAGTTATTTTACTCTTGAGTCAGTAAAAAGGTTAAGTAATGCGAAAAATGGAATTAGTTGTGCTGTCATGTTCACACCCACCCACCCACACACACACACACACACACACACACACACACACACACGCACACACACACACACACACACATACACACACACAAACACAAGCACGAAGACTTTGTATGTGTGGGGACATGATGGTAAAACTAACTCATTCTACTGCACTACTTAGGGTAGACATTTCATCAACTTCCGCCAGATTTTTCGAATAAGAAAAGATTCCACATGATCTAACCATGTGGAGAGCCGGGCCCAGAGCCCTGTGGATGGGTATGCTCCTGAATCACTCTCAAATCCTCTTTTTCAACGGCTATAGCTCATATATTTGTTTTAAGGAAAGTGGAAAGACTTTGGTTGAGATCAAAGGATTTAAGTGAAAAAGAAGGACCGATGGTTTCAAGGTATCCGTCGCCTGTGTCCAACACTAACAAAATAGAAGCAGAGTGGATATCTTGTAAACCTTTCGTCCTCCTTTTTTCAATGAAAGGGATGTTGTGCATTTCCAGAAAAAAGGCAGCTTACTTATGGGTTCGTGGCATATAGCATTGAGACTGGCGGTGGGCGGAAAGGAGGCACAGCATATAACATGGAGAATGGGTGGACGGCTGTGAGACACAAACCACACACGAAAGTTCAACTTAAAAAATATGGACTCGAATGGAGAGCCAAGGGATTAATTTATGGAAAATATAAAAGGACCAAGGAACCAAGGGACAACAAGTTACGTTTAGATTGGTTTGGTAAATGGTGGTATTCACACGACAGGCAAATCCACGTGCACCGGAAAGTTGCTATGGTATTTTACCTTTGAACGAGAAAAGTGGCTGAAAGTGGCTGAAAAGCGCAAGCGAGCTGGGGGCCCACTTTATTATTATTATTATTAATAACTTTTTATTTTACTAGGGTGTTTCCTCTTTTCACAATAATAGTGGCGTGCACGAGTACATTTACACCACAAAGCGCGAAACAAGACTTGATTTTTTACGCGGCTCTTTTAAGAGCATGATAATTATTGTATGCCTGTTTTGAAAATTTGAAATACCCATGGCTACTGGTCGGTGAAGCATTCAGAAATGCAAACGTGCCTGTCGTCGAGTGCAGCTGTGTGAATCCATACAGTCACTTTTCTCGTATGTCACTCCATATAAGACGTGCACGCGCCTGTGGTGTGAATACCCTATTAGTAGACATTATAGCGTAACTTTTAGTTCGTTGGTCCTTTTATTTTCTATGAACGACGTTCTTCTGCCAGTAAGATCCCATTTGATCGGAATCGCTGAAGGAGCTAAACTGAATCATTGATTGAATCGCCATTGTGAACAGATCCTGTAGCCTAACTTAAGCCAGACTTTAAAAACAAATCCATGCTTTTGTATGAACAAGGAAGGTAGTGAAGCTTGTGGGTTTCCACCTGTAGTCATTCCCGGTGAGCCCGGCACTATAGCATATTGACTGTTTACCTTGCGTTTGAAGTTCATCCCATTCCTATTTCAATTGTAGATTTTTTATGAAAGTTGACATGCCTACTTTTAGAATGGAAGAGAACAACGACGACGACGACGACGACGACGACGACGACGACGACGGCGGCGGCGGCGGCGGCGGCGGCGGCGGCGGCGGCGGCGGCGGCGGCGGCGGCGGCGGCGGCGGCGGCGGCGGCGGCGGCGGCGGCGGCGGCGGCGGCGGCGGCGGCGGCGGCGGCGGCGGCGGCGGCGGCGGCGGCGGCGGCGGCGGCGGCGGCGGCGGCGGCGGCGGCGGCGGCGGCGGCGGCGGCGGCGGCGGCGGCGGCGGCGGCGGCGGCGGCGGCGGCGGCGGCGGCGGCGGCGGCGGCGGCGGCGGCGGCGGCGGCGGCGGCGGCGGCGGCGGCGGCGGCGGCGACGGCGACGACGACGACGACGACGACGACGACGACGACGACGACGACAACAACAACAACAACAACAGCAAAAGAACATAGGGACAACAAAGGGCGTGCAGGTGCTCTAAAGGTGAGGTGAAATGCGCACCCCCGACCAATGGTCTCGGGATCAAGGCGCACATCACGCACCATGGGGGGGGGGGGGGAGAGGGGGAGGGGAGAGATATTCTACTATTCGAAGATTCCTTGGTCCTTTCTCTTTTGTAGAAATTAAACCTTTGGCTCTGCATCCGAGTGTATTCGAAGTATAGTATACTATCCTCATCCAAAAAAGGATTAATCAAGCAAGCCCCTTCTCTGTAATGTATTCACCCTAACCAGCACACTCAGCGCGAGAATTAGAACACGCGGCACAAATTCCTTTCAGATCTACATGTAACTCCCCTTACGAGCACTTCGTATGGCCATTACGTAACGCCATTACGTAACGTTTTTTAAAATCTTTAAACTGCGCTGCTCGGTGGGCCACGTTGCTGGATCCATTCTGCCACTTTACTAACATCTAGATCCGAGGAAATCGAGTTCCCTGGAGAAAGTCAGTTGTCCTTTGGGTTACCGAACTCTGTAAGCATTCTACTACACCAATATGTACCGTTGCTGCTGCGCATGGTGTCCTGGATAGTTTCGGTTGCTGACTGAGCAAGGGAAAGTGCTGCGCGTCTTACAGCAGCCGACACGTCGCGAGCAAGCTGCTCCATACCCTCTGGGCTACGTCGACCTGTAGGGAAAGAAATAATAAAAGAAATAACTTTTGAGCATGCTAGAAGACACGATGATCTACTGCTGTGGAGAGCAAGTCGGGGACAATAGCTCCTCTCCTCCAGATGCGTGCAAAATGTCAAACCCAACATGAAAGCCCAGATCGCTTGGGGTTTTAATCCACAACTACCTCTTTCCCTGTATGGAATAGCGGACAAAACAATTCGCTATAGATTTCCCTTCTAAGTGTTCAATGAAAGGTCCGACAAACTGTTCTAGTCTTTCCTAACGGTACGAATGAGGTAAAATATGCAGTTCATGCTCCATACTGAAGGCCCCAGTAGTGATTACCAGGTCAAGTCACACCTCGCTTAACCGCACACATCCGTGTTCCACAAAAGCATCCGGGTAAGCGAGGGAACTGGATAAACGAACACACATACGGTATGCATGCATGACATATGCTGTACATTTGTAACCAATGATATTCTTCCTGATGGTGAGGGATCCGGATAAAGAGGACGGATAAGCAAGGTCTGACTGGACATCACTACAACCTCATCAATCCTGCTGCAGTGCACGAAGGCAACATTTCTGACACAGTCCTGAATACACCATACTTACCATGAGCATAGCTGTTCAGATGGCTGGCAACCACTCCTGCCACCTTGCGTCCAATCTCCTTAGCAATGGGCTTGACTGTGTTCCAGACACGCGACGCTCCGTTCTTGATCGCTGAGAAGAAGCCTGGGTTTCCGTAAGCTGTATGGCCAACACATGGAGTCACTGAGCTAAAGTTCTACCTGACATGTGTGATCCAATGTAATGCATCGTATCTGGTGTAAAAACATACTGACCCTACGGAAATTTCACCACACGATTGGAACAAATATAGTGCAGTGTGCCGATCGGATAATGGCAAAATAGAAAGTGAACCACACTTTCCCTCGAAGACAAAGTTGCTATTATTACACTTCAGAACAGGAAGATTGATCAACAACGTTGTGAAAAGTTTCACAAGTCAAGCATACTTTCAAGGTTCAGAAGCCTTGAGCCACAATTTTGCGGGATAACATTCTTCACTGAGCAAGGATAGAGCATGAAAAATAATGTATATTGCGTATTTACCATCCGCCTCTCTCAGGGCTAGCTGCAGAGAATCCTTGACCATACGCTTTCCCATAGCCTGGAACTCGTCATTCGCTACAGCTGCAATCTTGTCGAACAGTACATCATCGTCACCAGCACGCTTGTTATCTACAGCAAGTTTTGAGAAACAAATTGCACTTCCGTGGTGTGTTCGGACTCTCAGAAGTTAATGGTGCCAGTCTTTGCATTTGCGAGGCCAGGAGTTGCCAATTATCTGTGCATCGCAGTATCATGTTGAAAACCCCTTCCGCTTTTGAGCATGACCGAAACCTTATATCCAAGGTTTCTCAGTCATGCTGTTAGATCATTCCACTATCACTACAAAAAAGGAATTAATTCTTCTTCTATTGAAATCATCTCAACTTCAAGTTCGCACAGCCGCATTCAGTTCTTGGCCACACCACAAAAACTGTAGTCTTTACACTTCGTTTCATTATTTATATCAAAAACATTCAAAGTTTGCGTGACACTCGGCTGGAGGCTGAGTTTTCTGCATCCACAGGAACGCCTCAACCTTCTATGGATCAAGGCGCTCCTAAGCGGTGGGAGGTGAGTAGATCAGACCCACCACAAAGTGGTCAAAGACTGAAAATCCCATTCACTGCATCCATGCTTCCCTCGTGCCAGGTCACGAGTTCTCAGTTAACTACCTGTGGGCCACATCATGGCTGTAAAATTCCTTTCGCTTCCATACAGGACGTGAACTTGGCACTCTCAGTTGCTCAATCACGGTCTTAGACCATCCCGCCATGCCTCCCTACTTATATCATATTATCAACGGAATTGATCCTAGATGGTGGTGGCGTTGTCATTTTATAAAATTGCAAGATGGATACGCCACCAATCAACAGGACATGCACAAAGTGGAGCCGGATAGTTGGAGCATTATTTCTAGAAGCCAGCAAATCGATCAACAAGACTGAGCACACAAAATTCACATACATGCTCTACCATCCATCTTCGGGATAGACAATTTCGAGAGTTTCAGGTCCCCCTTGTTCACTGCTGTGGATTCAAGTACAGTCTATAGAATTATGTATGGTCTAAGCGTTAAGTTAAGTCACCGGGTCAAAAGTAGAGCTCTTCAGATTGCACTCACGCGCCTGCAAAGCTTGTAGGCCCGACTGGGCCAGAGACTTAGCGGCAGACTTTCCAGCACCAATGGCTACCTTCTTGATCGTATTCCAGAAGCTTGGATCGGGGCCTCGTCGGCCAGCCTCCGCCACGGTGGAGTCGACATCAAACTCCATAAGTCGACTGTCCATCAGGGCTTCGTCCTCTGCTGCATCGTAAATTTCATCTACAAATGGTCACGAAATGGGAGAACATAGGTGATACTGCTATTCTCTTTGAATCATTATTAATCTTCTTGGAGCTAGTTCGAAGGATAATTCATCGCGGAAACGCTACGGACATATTTTAATGATGATATTAATCTTATATCACGGGGTAAAAGCGTCCAGTTAACACACACCTACAGAAGTTTACATAACGAACTACCAACAGCTGAAATTATGGTAAAGGCGTAAAATGACCCGCGCTCTGCGAAAACCGACCTTAGGTGCTTCGTAATTTTTTCGAGAAAAAGAACAAAACGTCACGGTCTGTCGATTTTTGAAGATCACAAGGTGAGAGTCATGGCGGAACGAAGCAGAAGACAGTCGCTAGCTCAAATAATTGCTGTGGGCTTCTTTCAGAGGTTTTATCCGAACTCCTTCACGATGAATAGTCAATTTTTGGCCTGGTCCAATCGCAGTTCTGATGACAGCAGTGCCGAGGAGAGTCGAATGTGGAATCGCAGGACGCAACGCTGATCGAGCTGGACGGCCATGCGGAGGAGAATTTCGATCAGGCGTCAGTTTTGCCACCAGCCCAGCCCCTCAATGCCGGCAATAAACAGAGTGCAGACCAACAAAAATCGGTTCAAGTACTGTCTACAATCCAGGAGGCTCGCGACAAGTTTGGCAAGGGCTGTAGTTGTTCCGCACTGGTGCTGTTTCAAGAGCTTGACACTTGAAACCTTGCTTTACATTTACAGCGCACACAGCGCACGTCCTGACCAAGTCAGAGCGCTGCTTGTGTGTAGGCGGAAAGCTAGACGTGCTCAGGAGACGTGGCGAGGCTACCCAGCGCTTCCAGCATGCTGGGAGATGTGATAGATGGGGCTCAACAATACTACTCTGAACTACTGAAGACTACAGTCAGTGGCTGGTGTGGAAGTCATGTACATGCATGTCAGGAAGTCTTTGTGTGTGCCTCCAGCCCAGGATCAAGCCCTGGGTGCTGAAATCTGTGCAGGCTGCTGTCAGTGCAAGTGAAATCAGCCCAACACAGGAATTGAATGAACTCTGGAATGCACTGCCTGTGGAAGATGTTTTGGAGCTGAAGCATTTTATAGAGCATTATGCTATAGCTCATGGCCTCCCTTAACCTGCAGATCCACATGGGTACAACAAGCCAGTACCAACCTACTTGTATTTGCCGTGTATCACTACGAAGAAGCTTGTTCACCAGGCGTTCACAAAGCCTGGTGGCAAAGCTGCATACAGTACGTTTGGCAAGATTTGGAAAAGGGACTGCCATAATATCACCGATTATGAAACAATGTGTGCGGCAGATGTAGACATAACCAGATGTTCTACTACCAGTACCAGATAAAACTATCAATATCCTTTAACCCGGCATTGATCCGAGCTTCTTCACTACTTTGCACCTGCCTCTACCCATCACTCTGGCTGGCATATCCTCATACAGAGCCAAATACCTCTTCCAGCAGATTCGTGAGCAACACCGTCCACAGAGCAGAGATAGAATGTTTCTATCTCCACAACAGGAAGATCCAATGCCATAATTAACCTTTCCTTTTGAAGATTATGACATACAGATTGATTCTGCAAAGTTTGGTTGCAATCATGCTGCTTGAATTCTCACAGCATTGGCTCCAAAATGTAGCATATCATCCAGGATTTTTGCTACTTTTCCTCAAAAAACTGTAGGAAAACTGCAAAGAAATTGTCATTGTATCTAACTGGATATGTATGCAATCCACCTCAAACTTCACCAGAAGTTGAAGAAAGGGTCATGGGTCAACAATCCAGCACAAACTCAATTTCGCCAAAATAGCACCTAAGGTCGGTTTTTGCAGAGCACTGGTCAAATGGTAATACTTGCATTCATAAAATGTGAGGAAGTTGCAAAATGAGAAGTATCTTTCGCAACAGAAGATGCGGATCACTGCGCCATTAAAATCCAAATTTTATTACAAATTCATCCAAAAATGTTTGGATGAATTTGCAGTCGAGAGACCGTTTTTGAGCAGTGGTGTATAACTGTGTGAAACATGAACTGTGGCTATAGTGGAGTCTGCACACCCTTAGGAAGGTAATCAAAACAATAATGCTAGTATTATATGAGCAAGGAAGCGTGGAAACGCTGATCGCAGTGACACTATCTATTCACCTGCATTGGCAACGTCAGCCATGAAACTGTCCTCATCCTCGTCGTGCAGGCCAAAGTCAGACAGACGGTGAGCGGGAGCAGCCTTTGCCAGGCCTATTCCGAGCAGCAGCAAGCACACAATCTTACAGTTGAAGATGGCCATTTTGTCTACTTGCCTGGAATTCCAGTATCAAAGTTGGCAGTGATTGTGCTCTCATCGCCGAATTCTCAGCCATTTATGTCCCCTATCAGCCACACCCCACACAAAGCGGATATAGCTGTTCGTTCCCCCACTCTCCCAGGCATAGTCAGCGGGCTAGAACGTTATGCTTACAGCTGGGCTACAGCGGAGGAAATGTCTAATCCAGTCTGCAGGGGATGGCGCGCAAGCTCTATGGCACCGTGTACATGGAGATTTTTTTAAATATTCGGCGAGGCGGCTATTATCTTTTCGTCTCGGGGGTTAGACAAGGGGAAGCAGCCATGTAGGGGCGTGAGTCCACCTATCGGCACTGCGGCGGGAGTTGCAGCTCGCTTGACTTGACTATACTGAGTGCAGAGGATCCAAGCCTTCATCTGGTGAGCTGCATTGAGGTGATTTTGCAGTCACATGGAGATTGTAGGTTTGAACGCCAGGTTCGCAGCATTTGCAGTGCACATCAGTAATGTGCAGGAGTAGCGGACCAGCTACAGCGGGCCAGACGTCTAGGAAATCGTACTATCCAGTGAACAAAACAAAGCTTGCTAGTTCAGATTTGAACGTATCCGATATCAGTATGTTTCCGAGGGTGGTGTGTGGGGGGGGGGGGGGGGGTGATGTAACACCGACTGTATGCAGTTAACGTTATGCTGTGACGTCCCTACATCTACAGTTATATGCACATGTAAATATGCTACTCGTGCCGTACCGTACCTTTCCTGTCTGCAGACTGTGAGCGAGTTGCATCTCCAGTGCTTGAAAGAGGCATACCAGACAGCACCCACCAGTACGTATACGGCGGCTCGGGCGTACATCTACTCATCGCCACTCCATAGCCTCGGCCCTAAGCCCAGGTGCAAGGTCTAGGAAACATTCCGCTCTCAAATCGTTCCTGGGATAGACCAGGGATGGAACAGTTCCGGTTTGTTGCGGCTTGGCAAGGAATGCAATGGCCACCACACAAACGTGGAATCGTACATATATAATGTCGGGTCAGAGGCACGAAGTACTCCATTATCGTACTCTTTTAGAACTGTACTATTTTCGCACAGGAGGTGAGAACTTTGCTGAGATTCCTACTTTGGCGTCAAAGACAGCCCGATAATGGCGATCTTGCTTGGCAAGGTTGCTTTCATCTTACTGCTCGGTGGGGTAGCACTGGCAAGAGCTGAGCCTGTGGCCGATATCGCCGAGCTAGTAGCTGGTGAGATAAGAATTCGGAATATTTTGATGTTTTCTGCACTCTCTGGTACTAAGATGGAGTACCGGTGGCGAAGCAGATATTACAAAACGCTCTGAAATACCTGCGTGTCCAAATAGCGTGCCCTGCACTGCAAACTTTCCCTCTCTCCTTCGCCCTTTTAATCAGGCATGCATCGTGTGAGAATATTTGTGACGCTTATTTTGATACATTGGTATCCATCACGCCAAACCTTGTAACATTAGTATATTCCACTATCATTACAACACTGTGCTGACCATTTTCCATCGTTTTCACACAAAAAAGGTGTGCCAAGAGTGGTTACTTTCTTTGTAGGATACTGTATCATATCTACTCTCCTTAGCATTATAGTACCTAATGATTGCGTAGCAGCATGAACGATCCAAACTACTGTATCTACATGACTATGTGTACGTAAAGTAAATTGAGGTGAGTTCTTTCTCCCAAATGACCCAGCATATTAAGTGCTGTTGCTGTTTCGTTCACTGAACGTCACAGATGAGCAAGCCGCCGAAGATGAAGCCGTGATGGACAGTCGCTTCTTGGACTCTGATTTTGACTACGCCGTCGACAATAATGGCGATGAGTTTGCTGACGAATACAACGGTAAGAATGTTGCTGGTGCATCTGTATTTACGATCTTGAGAACTGGAATGGCCTTTGGCCGCTCTTTGAGGTCCACTCACCTCACCTCTTATAGGAGCTGCATATATAGGGCTGTGATGTCCCTGCAGCTACGGAACAGTCAACCATACTGCCCCCAGCCACGCCCTGAATTGTATCACGAGGCTTCGAACTTCATGATAAGTCTTACTGATAGCCTGCGATAGGTAGCCCCTCTCCAGTTTGACTACTAAAATCATGACACCGTTTACTGAGTGGAATTACTGATGGCATTACCTAGACTAAATGAGTGGCATACTAGAACTTTCCGGGTCCCTGCAACAAGCAGCGGACAAGACAAACTGGAAGAAACTGTGCAGCTGGAAACCCAAGAAGAAATCAGTATCAGCATGTACTACACCTCGCTGATGATGCACACAAGAAAAAAAGCAGAGAGAATACTGAATTACTTTATTGTAGTGTTAAACTTTGCAAATGTTCCCTAAACTCCAACAGGGTAATGAACGCAGATGATGGGCCGGGCCCGAAGATTTGGTGTCATTTAAATTTTAATAATTTGAATCGCAGTGAAGAGACCATTTTTGGAGTTTGGAGTCGAGTAGTGACGTTTCCCAAGTGTTTAGCATTCTACTACGCGTAATGTGTTATTTGTTTATAGCAAAGGTATTGTCTCCTGCTATTTTCCTTCCTGCAGCTCAAATTCTTTTGGCTGGTCGCCGCGGAGCAGCGCCAGGCTTCTGGAACTCCGTCAAGAACGCGGCAGCCAAGGCGGGAAAGTTCGCGGCAAAGACCCTGGCAACAGCCGCACTGAAAACCCTGGAAGCACGTACGTTTAATGAGTTCCTTGGTCATGCTGCGCTGATAGGCACCTATACATAGTGCACTGTACTTGTATGTCCGTCTTTCCCATGAGCGATGTTCAATCGTGCACTACGAAATTGCCTCCCTTTTGGAAAGGGAAGGTACGTCGACTTGAGCAATACCGCCGACATAAAGCCCTGTGACGTAAGGTATCTGCTGCACTCATAGCAATTTTCTCATGCACGATAAAGGCTAGCTAGTCATAGGCAAATGTTGACGACATCGGATATGATAAGGGCAGCTCATGCCGACTCGAGCCACCTGTTGGCTGAGCACCTCGAACTCCATCACCACTCCTATAATTATTTATAGTCAGTTCATTGTCCTGTGTATCGTCTTCCATATGATATGTTGGTTTCTGGAATTCGTAGGAAACCCTCGCTTATTATTTTCCATTCCATCATAGCTAGAGGTACAACCACAACCCAAACCATGAACGACATATCAGATTTCCTGAGACCGTGGTATTGGCTTGGCTGCTATTTCCCCCTCCCCCCCCCCCCGCCCAGTTCCGATAACCGTATCCATCGTTTCTGACTGGCCTAAAGCCAGCTTGGAAGTTGAATAGGGGCCCCTGAGCTACGCTTTGCATGATTGTGCATATCTGCATCGCTCCACACATGAAGCAACAGTTATCCCATAGTAATGACTGTCCACTGGCATGTTTAAAGTTACTCAGCTGTACCAAAGGATCAGCAGGCACATGTGGTCTTCAGTGTGTCCACATGGTCACACTCCATCCTGTATTGAACTTGAAGTGTTTGGAAAGTGGAATCATGGCGCAGGGTAGAAGGGCGCTGTCAAAATGGAAATGTGGTGCTGCAAACTGCAAGGGTGGTCGGCAGTAACAACCCGTATCGCTTCAGCTACAAGCCTGTCTTAGCATTGCTAGGTTTGCCGTTTGCATACCTGCAGATACAGCAACACGCGATGCAGACTCTGCTATGGAAATGATGAGCGCCGTGGCTGAGAAGGAATTCCAGGAGATGGGAAAACGCTTGGCGGAACAGGCTGTAGCAGCAGCAGAGCGCTCCGCAGAAGGTAACTCCGGCTTCGTGTTCCACTGATATGCCTAGCTTCATTACACAAAGTGAACAACTTCAGTGCTTCATACCAACACACAGGTTATATTTCGTGGAACGAGTTTTGTGTTCTTTACAAGGGAACGCACACTATTTACATTGTGCTGGAGAGATGTTTGGAGATGCTTCTACATGTCGATTGCTTGGTGCGTCCATAGGATAGCAGGACAGATCTCACGGCTGCATTGGAGCTGGTCGGCTTTTTCTCACGCAGAGATTCACTAATGTTTCCACCTAAGCCAAGTTTTTTGGGAAAGGATTCAATATAATTCCAGGGTCCGGAAGGGTCATATTGTTGCCAACATCATCATTGCATGATTTCATGTCCAGCATACGGGAATCCGTCTTTCTGGGGAACGATCAAGTCCGGAGCCCGCAAGGTCTGGAGCCACGTAAAACCCATCGCCAAGGAGATTGGACACAATGTTGTGCAAATTGTCTCCAAGAAGCTGACAAGCTTGGCTAACAGTAAGAATGTGAACGCACAACGCAGGCTGTTGGATAAGCGAATTCGTTCTGAAATGCGATATACTGTATAGCAGGAAATTTTTGGACGGAAATATTTTCGGACAAAGCCGAATTTCGCCCTTTCGTACGGATTATATTTTCGTACAGTGCTGCATGCTAAATACACGTGTTTGCATGCAGTACGCATGTATAGTGTACATAATTTCACATGAACAAATTTTAGTACGGAATTAATTTTAGTACAAAAGAGGCCGTGTACGAAATCGTACGAAAATAAATTCCGTCCGAAAATTTCCTGCTATACAGTAGGCCGCCTTTGTTGTTCTTGTTGTATGAATTATTTTTCATTCTGAATCCAAAACTTGATTTGATATCCCCGTACTGAATAGCACAGGTGCTGCTCTGATAGTGGAGACTGATTGTACTGAATTGAGACTACCTTACTTCGAAGTAGTACTAGCATGCTAGACTGCTAATATTTTCATTGTTTTCTTCACACCCAGGGTTCTAGTCAAAGGGAGTAAGGGGGCGCAGTGCCCCCCCCCCCTCCTACTCATTTGTCGATTTTTGCGTATTTTCATGCCATTCAACGCAAATGCAGTCTTTTGTCACCACTAGAGGGTTTACAAGGGCACATTTGTGTGGGCTGAAGTGGGGGATTCGCCCCAGAACATTGCATTTGGCATGGCAAGATTGTTTTAGAAAACGGAACAATGCGTTTTGAGTAACTGTTTCCCCTACCCCTCCCTCCCCCCTCCTCCTACTACTAGTTATACCTGGCTAGAACCCTGCCACCTATCAAGGCATTACAGTATTAATTTTTTAAATTAAACTCGGATGGAGAGCCTAGGATTAAAATTCAAAAAGAGGACCAAAAGTTTACAAGTTATCCGTTGTGTCCAACACTAACGGTTATAAGCAGAATACTGTTCAGTCAAACGTGTGCAACAATTAGCACAAAACTGACTGATGAGAACATGACATTCAACGACCTAATGCTTACTAGTAGCTGCATCACGTCTAGAATGCGCAAACCAGCAGCCTTCCAACTTGGAAGGTTCTAAGTTATGAAGTAACGTGAGAAAGGGGAAGGTGCACTCTAGACGAAAACAAGCTAAACATCACAGCGAACTAAGAATGTTAGCTATGACATGCTGGTTTGCGCATTCTAGACGTGATGCAGCTAAGCATAGGTCGTTGAATGTCATTATCTCATCAGTCAATTTTTTGCTAATTGTTGCACAGTTTTTACTCAACAGTATTCTGCTTATAACCGTTAGTGTTTGGACAAAACGGATAACTTGTAAACTTCTGGTCCTCTTTTTGAATTTTTTAAATAACAATATTAATACGCGGCTTCCAGCCGACTCTCACGTGAACCGTGAATTGTTTTTGTTTTTTATAATAATACACAATATGAGTACACAGAGGCAGTGCGCCTTAACCTGCAATAGTGCTCAAATGCCCGGAATGGGCAGAGCGTAGTACACAAAAGGAAGCAAACATAGGGCTGTTTCGTCGTTACTCAGAGTATCATGGCACAAACCAACCATCAGACAACAGACAATATGAGAAGATGTAAAATTTAATATGAAAACAGAACTTCACAATAACTGTTCTAATGTGTATTTTTGTACCTGTATTCCCACCACAGGTAAGCGCACTGCAGAGGACATGCAGGAGCTTGCCAGATTCACTGCCCAGGTAGCCAAGCGAGCATCACGTGATCTCGCCCACGCCACTGCTCTGGCCATCCAAGCAGAAACGAACAGCCGTGAACGTAAGCTCTCTCCCGCCTGTTCTTCATCCCTAACGTTAAAGGAACAACTTCGTGTTGCATTCATTTTCTCCTTTGAGTACACCTCCGGCAGGGATGTGTCACATTTCTAGACTTTTCTATAATATAAACTCGGATGGTGAGCCAATATTATGTAAAGAAAATGTACCAATACGTCACTACGAACTTAGAAGTTGCGACTTCGGCGGTAATGTCATGAAGTTGGTTGCTCAGGAAACACTGTGTATTGAGCAGGGAGTGGTGCTTTCTTTCAGGTTTGCCGAGCGGAAGGTGCGACGTGCTCCTGGTGTGCTCCGGATGGCAGTCGTGAGTCAGTCAAGTGTCAAGTTCGGCAAGAAGCGTGTGCTCCTCGTTGGAGCAACCAACTTCATGACATTACCGCCGAAGTCGCAACTTCTAAGTTCGTATTGTTGTCCCTCACGCGGACTTGCGACTAGTTGTTGGAGGTGACAGCGTTGTGAATAGCTATACTGGCTCTCAACGTCTGTTTAGCACAACTCCATGAGCGACTCTGACTCACGCTGCTACCTGGGGCTTCACGAGGTGTTTGTCGCGCTGGAAACAAAGCGTCTCTGTAAGTTTGTATCCCTGGTGATGGTTTGGCCCGGAGAGCAGTATATAAGTGGTGCTTTTCAGGCACAATCTTCCTCAGCCTACTCAAGCTCAACTGATTAGGGGTGAATTCCCCGAAACACTGTGTATTGAGCAGGGAGTGGTGCTTTCTTTCAGGTTTGCCGAGCGGAAGGTGCGACGTGCTCCTGGTGTGCTCCGGATGGCAGTCGTGAGTCAGTCAAGTGTCAAGTTCGGCAAGAAGCGTGTGCTCCTCGTTGGAGCAACCAACTTCAATACGTCACTAGTTATACTAACCTTGGCAGTTTTTTGCCTTGTTTTGCACTTTCTGACTGTATAAGATTTCGTTACCTTGGTGGACTGTTAGTCATAGCTAGTAACTTGAACATTGGTCCTTTCTCTTTCTATGAATATTTTGCCATTTGCGCAGCCAATCTTAAAATTTAATGTCATTGTAGAAAGGAAAAGGACACATGGCTACGAGTTAAGAGTAACTCTCCATCACTGTAACCAGATACTATTATTACATAGTCAGAAAGTGCGACAACTAGGCACAAAACTGACAGAGTACTGAGACATTCGACGCCCTGACATCTAGCTTCAACACATCTCCGTAGCGCTAACCAACAGCCTTCCAACTCGGAAGGTTCAAGGTTATTTAAAGACCAAAGAGGGGAAGGTAAGCGCAACGAAAACGAGCACAAGCTACAGTCCCAACGGATTAAAGAATGTCGATTGTCACTGGACGATGACGAGACTAGTAAGATACTTGACAAAGCGGTCTAACTACAATTCGAAGCAGCAAAGCAGCACACCACCCAACTTGGGTGGCTCATAAAATTTATTTTAAAATATGAAAGATACTGTAAGTAAAGAATATTCGAGTTTCAAATTGCACACCTGATGAGCCGTCACGAACCATACGGCGAAACGTACGTCGTGTGAAACAACTTTTTTTTGTACTCAACTAGTCCATCACAATGTCATGCATGAGGGTACTGTAGGAGTTTGGCTTTCGGTTTGTACAATTCGTTTTCGCAAAGCTTCCCCCTTCTTTACTTATCTTTGATATTTATGAGCCAGCCAAGTTGGGTGGTGTGCTGCTTTGCTGCTTCGAATTGTAGTTAGACCGCTTTGTCAAGTATCTTACTGGTCTCGTCATCGTCCAGTAACAATCGACATTCTTTTTTCCGTTGGGACTGTAGCTTGTGCTCGTTTTCGTTGCGCTTACCTTCCCCTCTTTGGTCTTTCAATAACCTTGAACCTTCCGAGTTGGAAGGCTGTTGGTAAGCGCTACGGAGATGTGTTGACGCTAGGTATCAGGACGTCGAATGTCTCAGTACTCTGTCAGTTTTTTTGCCTAGTTGTTGCACATTCTAATCTTAACTCGTATCCATGTGTCCTCTTCCTTTCTACATTTATTATTGGCTCAACATCCGAGTTTAACGTCATTCTTCGTAGTGATATTCGCCAAACGCTATGGATCGGTTCAGGTTTATCTTGGCTGACATGAACACGTTTGTATGCTGACGTTACAGTTTGGAGCCGTTCGAGCAATTGTCATATGTTAATTGCATCTAATGTCGCATGACGGTGGCATAGTTTTAACTATCGAACAGTACCCGCTGATACAGTGATTAGGGTCCGACTGATTCTGCCGGCAGAAAAATTGGCAGAATTCGGTACTTTTTCTGGTAAGTTTCATGCATGTTTGGTGTGTGGATAAAGGAATGGAGCAGAATTCGAGGAATTGCCCGCCATAAGGTTTGTAAGGTTCTGCCAATTTTACTGCTTTTCGAGCAGAATCTGCCACCTTTTCTAGCAGAATCCGCCGGTCTCTAACAGTGATATAAGCATTACGACTGCCCCACTCAGCCAGGGTCCAGTGCAATTTCAGTACAACGTGCCTCCGAGGGCAGTATAGATCTGTACTTCGTATCCACAGTCATCTTACTTTTCTATTCTTCGGCAGTGTCGTCGAAAATATCACTCGTGATATCCGATACAGTCAGACTTTCGGCCGCACACATCCATTTTCCACAAACGAAATCTGGATGGCTGAGGGAACCGGATAATCGAACACACATACTGTATGTAAGCATGATATACGCTGTAAATCCGTAACCAACGATTTTCTTCCCGATGGCGAGGGATCGGGATAAAAGAGGACCGGATAAGCGAGGTCTGACTGCAGGATGTTATATCTAGGGTAGTTTGGACGGAACTGTTTCACTTTACTTCGAACTACTCATATCCACATGCTCTGAAGTCCAGTTCAGGAAGCACCGAAACACTGTGCAGACAGGCTTAACCACGGGGAAATCCCACCGAAACTGCATATCGGGCGCCCTAGATTAGCACACAGCTTCGCGAAATGGAAGAACAATTATCTACATATGGTGCAAATGCTGCTGGGCGCATACCTGCTTTTATACCTCGATATTTAGGTACTTGTTTCCCTTCTTCCCATGCTTCATCTTCCACTCTCCTCTCCCCCATTTCCCCATTTTTCTTGCGATATTTATGTGGGAGACTTCCGTGATAAGCATCCATTTGCTTTTGGAGAATCCTTTTAAATAAATACAATACAATACAATACAATACAATCATGTGATGTAGTCGGAGCGCGTGTAGGGCACCATTCTCATACCTTGGGTCGGATTTGGCTTAGTGCAACTGTACAATCATGCAAGTGAGGTTGCTGTTGCATCTCTGCTAATGTTCAGCACAATTCGTTCATGGCAACATGCGCTCAGCACGTGCTGCCTGGGACGCACTGAATACTGCCAGTGTCAACATGGCCAAGACACTGGTTAGCAATGCCGATGTGTTCCAACAGGCGTCCAAGAGAGAACGTAAGGAAATGATGATTGCTTGGAAACTGCTTGCTTTATCGCGTACAAAATGTTACTGGAGAGTGGGAGAAATAAGGAATTCGAGTGAACACGCCCTTCTCACCCCCTCACCCCTTCATAGAGGTGACATAGCTCGCATAATTTTGGCACTACACTGTGTGTGTATATGTACTGCTCCTGCGTGGCTTCCCCAATAGTCATTGTTCTTATTACCTACTGATGACCAAGTGTCGAAACGTTGTAAAATAACGGAACTGGTTCGGATGTGAAGCGCTAAGGGAATGGGTGGGTCCACCCGAATTCCGTATTTCAGAGATGAAGCTGCAGGAAGCCTCGGCCCTTCTCCAGAGTTAGTGGGAGAATCTGTCTTTCAAAATATACCACTTTCCTTGTCCCGGTTAGTTGTGTGGACTAACCACACATCCATAGTAGCTGCGTGAGTTCCTGCACAGAATAGAATCTCACTCAACGCTGCCCACATGTGCTGCAACTTGTATATGAATTTTCTGCTGCCTACAACGGTTTTACACCAGGTGTGCGATTTCTGTTCAAGACCAACGGTGTGTGGAAAGTCGGGATCACGTCATGATCTGCCATTTTTTGCTGTGCGTGCGGTGTGTTTTCTCCCTGAATGCTACTTTCTGTGAGTGTCCTATCGTGATTATCGGGTGATGTCGTGTAACTATCCCGGAAAATGTCACTACGCGTCGGCGACCTCCTACCCACGTGCAGCCACTGCTAACGACGCTGCGTTCGATAGGGTTGCTAATGATGTTGCGAGTGCATTGACAGCAGATACTGTGAGAGCAGGTAAGATCACTGGAATAATACTCACCAGGTGTCCGCCACAGAAAGTGCCCAAAGAGGTACTTTCTACGGAGCCCATAACATAATGCCACATCCAAGAAATAATATGGAAGAACTCCAATCTTTAACTCCATACAGTTACACTGCTCAGAATCGTTTCTGCACTGATCACATCAGGCATTTACATTACATTGGAGTTCACAGTCTGAACTTACTCATTCCGCAACCTGTGGTAATGTCGAGTACCCTGATGCTGGGTCGATATTTGTGTATACGTTTTCATGCAAATTAAAAAAAAAATTATGAATGTAAAAACGGTGGAGACAATGTGCAAGAAAACGATGAAAGTAGGAAGAAATTTAAAGAGTCGGCGTGGAGAAAGCAATTTTATTAGTGCAATTAGGAGTATAATCGATGCAGACATGGCCAGACAACAACGAGTTCATGGAATTTTTTAAGGATTTTTATGTTATTCAAAATCGATTTTCGTGTTCCGCTCATCAGTGAATAGTATCGGAACTGAGGGTACTGTGTACAAAAATAGAACATTTTATAACAGCATAATTAATTAAAAGTGTGAACAACAAAGGAAGTGCTAAAGCATTACATAATAGGTGTCAAACATAGTGCTAACGTATATAACTGAGTGCAGCCACAAAGCAAGAGGTGATACAGTGCAACATGACACAACATTTACATCTGATAACCAGCTACGAGAACAACTTTAGCGCGACTACATGCTTCTTTTGTTTACAAAGAACAGGATTATGCACACGAATACATACAGCTTCCAGAACCTTCAACTGCTTAACAGAACTTGCACGGCACAAAACAGAAAAGTGAGAATCATCGTACACACTAAGACAATCTGGACGTGATAACAAGTGACAAAATACAGCTGACTTTTTGCTCACGTCGCTCTCTTCCGTCTCATCCCGCTCCTTTCCTTCGACCTCCTCCGCCTTATCCTCGTCCTCCGTCTCATCTTCATCATCATCGTCCTCATCACCACCATCATCATCATCAGTCACTTCCTCATCATCCGTTTGATGCTCAGTCTCACTGCACTCCTTATCAGCCTCCAACATGGCTCCATCATCTCCACCAGCATCACAAGTCGTTTGACCGCTGCTCCGCGTCACCGTTGCTGGGTTCTCTACTACTGCACACCCATTTCCACTGTCCATTTTGCGTGGGCCAAGTCCATTCCGTGCATAAATTTCAAGTGAATAGTTTGCTGTGCTTCTTCTGGGTCTATGGGTGAGGATATTGGTTTCATTTTGGTTTGTCGATGATCTCCCTCCCTGTCCAGACACAGTCGGCACCGTGGATCCCAGCACCGGGGGGACCACCGTCTCGGTAGTCACCAAAGGTAAAGGGGGTGGCTCAGGCGGAGGCAAGGGCAACTGCCGAGATGAAGGTTCAGTGTCTCTCGGTGGCCCCTCCTCCATTCCAGGACGATGATGTTGTGCTAGAGTAGGCTCCGCTGCCGTTTGCAGTGGGTCGAGAAGTGGTGGCCAGGTCAATGATGGCAAACCCACCCCAGCCCCAGCCACCCACGGCACCCCAGGTGGTGGGGCCGGTGGTGGCACGGGAACAGGCGGCGCTGTCGGCACAGCGTGTTTGTCTACTGAGCTAACTGGGTTCTTACACGGCCTACCACGCTTTGGCCGCTTTGCTCTGGCTGCTGGTGGTAATAAGTGCAACGGCACATGTTGTCTGATACGTGCGTTCAGGTGTTGAAGAGTCCTACCATTGTGGTGTCAGATAGAGTTTATTCACAACTAGCAAGGAGGACAACAAACGAAGAACAACATTCCAAGCAGTGTGCGAACACAAAAGGGAAGTGTGTACGAACACCAAGGAAAGTGTGTACGAGCGCATATGGAAGCAGGAGCTCTAGGCGGGTGCATACGGGGTGCGGGAGCTGCACCATATACGGAAGTATGCCATATACATCATGCCCCTCCTAAGATAAAAACGTACAAGTGTTTATCTAATCAACAAAAAATAATGTGAAAATTGCATGTGCGTAGCAAATGACATGTCGCGGAGCAGCAGCAACTTCCAACAGACTTGTAAAAGGGATAATTGCAAAAATTATATACATGAAGGTTTTCAACTGCGAAACAATGGGAATGACAATTGAATAGGTACAATGGACATCAACAACTGAACAGAGCGAGTGTTAATTGTACGATTGTCCACGCGTTGAAATAATGTTAAAGGGGACATTCTGTCGCCGGGGACGTTGGCTTGTTCGAGGTGGTACCTGAACAGTTGACTGTGGCGACGACTGAGTCACAGGGACTGCTTGTGGTGCAGCGTCGGGTACGGGAGACGATGCAGGCATGGCTGTTGAAGCTGGAGTAGGAGGACGGTACGGGCGGAGGTAGCGACGGTTGCGCCAATATACGCGTCCACTCATTAGCTTGACGTAGTAGTCGCGGTGGTCACCGATAGCCACGACAACGCCGCGGGAAGACCACCGTTTTGTCTTCGGGTGCTGAATGTCAACGTGCGTCCCGATAGACAAGTGGGGAAGCTCTCGGTGAGGCTGACTGGGAGGCTGGTTTACTCGATCAACATCATCCATGTCAGATGCGGTGTCTTGCCAGTGGGAGTCGAACTGGCTCCATTGGGCGAGAACGAAGGAGACGAGTGGGCGACCATACAGTAACTGGGCAGGACTCTTTCCCGAAGTGCCAGGAGTATTGCGCCACTCGAGAAGGCCACGCTGGAAAGCATCGGTGTCTAGATTACCGTCGTTGGTAGTCTTTTCCACCAGGTACTTTATTGCCTTTACGGCTGCTTCCGCATGTCCGTTCGACTGTGGGTAGTGAGGGGACGACTTGATATGACGGATTCCCCAGCGCTCGCAAAATTCAGCAAATCTGTGAGACGCAAACTGAGGACCGCCGTCCGTTGAAATGACCTGTGGTACGCCTACATCTGGGAACCACCTGCGGAAATGACGAATGACGTCAGCTGACGTGGCTGAGTGACCAAGCTTGGCTATGCATGGCCATCCGGTGAAGCGGTCGACGAATACCAAATACTCGCAACCTTGGCAACTGAAAAGGTCAGCACTAACACTTTCGAATGGCAAAGTGGGCTTGCGGTCAGAAATGGGCGGTTCGGCAGACTGAGACGGCTGAAATTCACGGCATGCATCACAGCTGCGGACTAGCGTGTCTAACTCACTGTTCATTCCGGGCCAATACACTGTCTGACGGGCACGTCGTTTGGTACGGGTCAGACCTTGGTGGGCTGCGTGAAGGTCGATCAGCGTTGACGCACGCAGAGAGGCTGGGACGACTATGCGTAGACCTTTCAGGACTATGCCATTGTCGGTGGACAAATGTTCACGCACGTTCCAATACGCACGAAGAGGCTCGGGCAGCTGCTTTTGTGCTGAGGGAAATCCGTTCTGGATATACCCGAGTAGCATCTGGTAGTCAGGATCAGATGCTGCTGCGGCACGGAGCTTAGCGAACTGGAGACTCTGGGGACCATCTTGGAGTAAACAGATACGGATACTGCGGCAGGACAGTGCTGGATCTTCTCCAAGTTCATCATCACTAGTCGGGATTGATACAGGATGTCGTGAGAGGGCGTCTGCGAATACGTGCTCTGAACCCTTACGCCACGATGCTTTCACTTGATACGGACGAAGTTTCATGATCAATCGGAGTAGACGAGAGTTCTCAATCTGGTCAAGGGTGTAGCTGTTGATAATCGGTACAAGCGGACGATGGTCGGTGATTAGTGAGAACTGTGCACCAGATAGATACAAGCGGCACTTGTGCACTGCCCAGACGACTGCGAGGCACTCGAGCTCGATTACAGCGTACCTTGTTTCAGCGTCAGATAAGAAACGACTTCCACACTGGATGAGGTGCCATTGCTGGTCATCATGCTGTTGCCATAGGGCAAATCCGAGGCCATTCTTCACAGATGCATCAGTCTCGAGACGGAGAGGCTTGCCAGGCTGGAAGAAAGCTAACACTGGTGACTCAGTCAGGATGGCTTTGACGGCTTCGAATGCTATGGTGTGCTGCTGATCCCAGGCGAACTCATTGCTGGTTTTCAGGAGTGGGCGAAGCGGCTCACTTAGTTCAGCAATGCGCGGTGTGAAGTCGCTGCATTGGTTGACCAAACCGAAGAATGAGCGGAGGTCAGTGCGGTTGCAGGGCACTTCGAACTGGCGAATGGCAGATGTCTTGCTACCATCAACGGCATAACCATCAGCATTGATGACGAATCCGCAGAACTGTACTTCACTAGCGCCGAATACAAACTTGTGTGGGCTGAGCGTAATGTGATGCTCACGGGCACGGTGAAGGACGTCACGAACGTGGGTGACGTGGTCTTGAAAATCGACGTCATGTACTAGGCCGTCATCAACGACTTTGACGAAGTTAGCGAGGCGGTCAAATGCTGCGTCTGTGCGGCAGTTGAATTCGTCACCTGCTGAGGACAGACCTTGAGGGTTGCGGCAATAGCGATACCGACCCCAGGGCGTGATGAATGTCGTGAGCGGCTTCGAGTCGTCGGACAGGGGTATTTGCCAGTACCCATGACGAGCGTCGAGTGTGGTGAAGAAACGGGCTTTACCAATAGCTGTCACGGCGTCACGCGGAGTACGAGCTGGGTGTGTTGGTCGGCAGACTTGGTCGTTGAGTTTACGCAAATCAACGGTGAGGCGCTTCTCGTTAGAAGACTTCTTATCTGCGATGACGATCGGGTGGCACCAGTCTGACGGTTCAGTGACTGGTTCAATAATTCCATTGATCACCATATCGTCCAGTTGAGATTTTATCTGGTCTCGGAATGCGAATGGGATTGCGCGGGCACCATTAACACGAGTTGGTGTGGCGTCAGATTGAAGCTTTATCTCCATGGGAGGACCAGCCATGGGCTTCAATTGGGAGTCGTCGAATACATCAGCAAACTCTTGCATCAGCTGAGCCTTAACATCAGCAATGTCTGCACTACTGGGTTCGGACTTCACACGGGAGATCCGCGGCCAGGACTCAGGGAGAATGCCAAGAGCACGGAGAGATTGGCATGACAGCAGCGCCTCGTCGAGGTCTTCATACACATGAAGTACCGTGGTGTGCTGGGCTGAGCCAATGGAGAGCGTGGCAGAAATCTTTCCCAGGCTAACCAGAGAGGTGCCGTTTGCTGCTGAAACAGTGTCGGAATCGACGGCAAGGTTCTCAGGGAAGCCACCTAGCTGGGAAAGATGTGCTGGCCCAATGGCGTCAACATCGCTGCCGGTGTCTGGAATCCATGTCATGGCTTCGGCGGTCGGTTCTGTGTTGAGCTGCGTGTGGACACTGAGTTCTAGACCATGTCGAACAGAGGCACGTTGCAACTTTAGTTGGCCGACTTTGCCGGATGCTGTTGGTTTGCCTTTGTGCGGGCACATGGACTGAAAATGTCCGACACGTTGACATCCGTTACATTTGCGTGACTTCGCAGGACATGTGCCTTTGGTGTGGGGACTGCGACCACAGCTGGGACACTTGTCACCTGCGGGCTTGTCTGGTGTGGACTTCACGGGAGCGGGCCGGCTCGCCTTCTGCTGCTTATAAGATGATTTCTTAGCTGCGTGCACGTGACCACTGGAGGGAATGCCAGAGGAAGTTTGGCAGGCTGCTTCCTCAGCACGGCAGAGCTTCACAGTTGCCTCCAGATTCAAGTTCTGGAGGGCCAGCAGCTTGTGACGCACGTCGTCCTCAAATACGCCTGTCACGATGCGGTCACGTAGTATGTCGTTGTTGAATTTCAACAGGCCTGCCTTGCAGGGGTTGCACATCGCCTGGTTGCAGTTATGACATACTGAACACCCAGAAAAGTCACACGCGTGAAACAGTTCACGGAGGGCCGTATAAAAGGAATCAAATGATTCCCCACGCTGCTGCCGTCTCTTGTAAAATTCGATTCGGTCGAGCAGCGGGTTCCTCTGCCGCCGGATGTACTGCTGGAGGACCGGGATGGCATCAGCAATGTCAGCGTCTTCCGGGAAGGCGATAATGCCTTCTCGGATGAAACGGCGCAGGTCCTCATCTAGGGCCTGGCGGAACGCTGACATACGTGTATGGCGGTCGTGGCTGGCGAGACATTGGCATTGCGCATAGTCACGCCAGGCCTCCTCCCAAGCGGTAAATTCTGCCATTGTGGCAGTAGATAACAGTACTGGTCGTTCTGCGGACACAGACTTGGGTGCGGGTGGGGTTGTAGAACTAGTACTGGTCTGGTTGGACATCCTTTCCATCAGGGTCTGAAACTGTTGATCTCGCAGTGCAGACGCCTGTGCCTGAGTTGTCAGGAGCTGCAGGAGCGTGGCGACGTCAGGCACTCCATTACCAGAAGGTGCTGCGGGATCGCTGCTCGCCATGCTGATCACAAATGCTCGTTGTGACAGCTCACACGACTACGTCCTACGAAATAAATTGAACAACACTCCTATCTAAAACGAACTAACAAACTAACTGCAGGGTAATCTAATCCAAATCCAACGGAGTGCTACACTGCTACTGGGCCAGGTAAGACACTACAAACTAGGTTGGTGTGGACAGAATGGAAACTACAGGACGAAATGTTCACTGCGCCATGTGGTGTCAGATAGAGTTTATTCACAACTAGCAAGGAGGACAACAAACGAAGAACAACATTCCAAGCAGTGTGCGAACACAAAAGGGAAGTGTGTACGAACACCAAGGAAAGTGTGTACGAGCGCATATGGAAGCAGGAGCTCTAGGCGGGTGCATACGGGGTGCGGGAGCTGCACCATATACGGAAGTATGCCATATACATCAACCATCACCTCTTGCTTTGTGGCTGCACTCAGTTATATACGTTAGCACTATGTTTGACACCTATTATGTAATGCTTTAGCACTTCCTTTGTTGTTCACACTTTTAATTAATTATGCTGTTATAAAATGTTCTATTTTTGTACACAGTACCCTCAGTTCCGATACTATTCACTGATGAGCAGAACACGAAAATCGATTTTGAATAACATAAAAATCCTTAAAAAATTCCATGAACTCGTTGTTGTCTGGCCATGTCTGCATCGATTATACTCCTAATTGCACTAGTAGGAAGAAATAGTGAAGATTTACAAGACGAAATGAGGACCAAGGAACTACATGTACAAGTTATGCTATAATGTCCACTAACACCACCAGTTATTAAACAATCAGCTCATGCGATCACATTGCACGACACCGACCAACAGTACTGACGTTCTACACCTACATGTATTCATATAACTGGCAATCAGCTCTGGCACATCTTGGAGGCGCACTCGCTTCACAAAGCCTTTATCAGCTGCTTAGCTTTTTTTCTGATTTACTGAATCAAGTCCTCGTCTCCTAGTCTGGTTAGAAATATTCAATGACAGGCGCCTGTACATGTATGTGTTACATACAGTGCTGGCAACTGAAATCCGATCCCCCCCTAGCGGTGCGCTAGCCGCGTTAGCGATTCGTACGAGACGCTAGGGGTGTCGGATTTCAGTTGCCAGCACTGTAGTACCGAATATGATATTTTCCACTGTCATCGCTCACCATTGTGCATGTGTCTTTCTTCACTTTCTTTGCTAATTTTTTCTGCAGTTGAGGAGATGAAACGCGCACCAGCCGCCTTCTTTCACGTGCCCATTTTCCCTCCACCCACTTTCCGCACCATTGGCATAGCCAGTACGTACCAGTTCATGCACACCACCAGTGCAGTGTTGTTCAGTACAATGTCTTGCCACTTTTAAACATGGATGCAGTGAATGGGGCTTTTGGTCTTTGACCACTCACTGATGAGGTGATCTACTCACCTCCCACCGCTTTAGGAGCTGCATCTGCGCCTTGATCCTTGAAGGGTGGTGGCGTTCCTACGGATGCGGAAAACTCGGCCTCGAGCCGAGTCTGACGCGAGCCGTGATTTTCATGTATAGTACTTATAATGCTGCTCAATGGAATCCAGTCGCGTGGGTCAGGCTTGCTCCAGTTCACATACCAGTTTTTGCAGGTCTAAATTGTAGGGCTTCGCAACGCAAGGCGTACTTGACTCAGTCGATCGAATTTCATTTCGTGTCAGTTATACTTACTTTCGATTGGCTCCAGTTGCTAGTATTTCACTTGATGAGAATGCACAAAACCTAGTTTGTGAAAGAGTCTTAAGTCCCGAAGATGGTTGTATAAAAATGGGTTTTAAATTTGTGCTCTTTGTAGCCGTCAATACTACTACGAATGTTCTTTGCCCTTGTTTACTCCCTAGGAGGCGCATCCATGCGCGATCCAGACCCAGCACCATTCCTCCTTGGCTCCCTCATTGGAATGGTCGGCAAAGGCATCGTTGGCGCTATCAGCCATGCCATCCATCGCAAACGTGAAGGTAAGATCTTTGAGCTCCACACCTATTGATGTGAACAGTACTAAAATTGCAAGGACATGAACACGTTGCCGTACTATGAAAATGGGTAAACTTTAACATGACGTATATCACAGATCATGCAGTCGTGGGAGGTGTGTCCTCTGATACCGGTAATAAAACCAAACCTGGCTGCGAGTACACCATAGCTTAACGTCAAAGCATCGCTGAGAGGTTGCAAAGGTACGAAGCATCTTAGGAAACGGTTCATTTTCTTCAGACCTTTCTTTCTCGACTCCCTCGGACGGATTTGCAAGAAATTATTACTGCAATATTTGTATTCCTCATACCTCTGCGTTGCTACACAGCTAGCACGATTGGGGACATCGCTATGGAGGAATTCGACAGGGACTCGGATGTTGAAGAAATAGCAGATGCCATGCTCACGAACAACCAGGGTAAGTGCTAAAGCCAGTGGACGCATGCAGCAGGGGAGTGCATGCAAAGAATATCAAATAACATTAGATTAATTTTGCTAAGAACCCTCTATCAGAGAGCATTTTCTAGTGCTTTTATCTAGCATGCAAGACTTGCCATGCATCTGAAAACTGGTTTTCAGTAATCCGTCGGTACATGTATCTCATACTCATTTTCACAGTGTTGGTCATAATCTATCTAAAGTCATAATCATTATATTATTTTTGCGTTATTTTGGGGAGCCAGCGATTGCCTGGTGAAAAGGCATCAGCCCCGTTCGCTTCATAAAAATTAATACAGTTAAGCAGCTTGTACATTCTAGTATCCTTCACAGAGGACTTGCAATGGGTTTTCTCAATTGCAGGCGCTTTGTCCCGCCGTGACGCAGACCCCGGATTTCTGGACGTAATGAAGAAGATTGGTACTGGCGTTTTCCACGTGGGAAAGTCCCTACTGGGCTTCCGCAGATCAGAGGGTAAGTACTGTCAATTTCGCTAATAACGACTGCACTGCGGATGTAACGACTGCACTGCGGATATAACGACTGCACTGCGGATATAACGACAATTCGCAATTGACGACAGAAGTTCCATGCCCAGATCAAA